CTGTTCTACCCATACTTCTGCCTCATTCTGGTTCCTCCATCTGTTTTTTGCTTGTATTTATTTTGTAAGAGACTTTATGTCCAGTGTTCTAACTATATTAAAAAGATTTAAAATAATGTAGGACTGGGGGTGGTGAAGTTTGGTGGCTTAACATATACATGAAAGTAAGTAAAAAGTTTATAATTTTAAAGTCATAACGGAAACAGATTTCCATATTATTATTATTGTATAAGTTCTTGGGGGATGTTTATCCTCTAGTCAAATTTAGAATAAGAGAAAGTTTCTAAAACTTAAGGCTGAGACAAGAGAATTGGAAATTCAAGGCCAGACTGGGTTTTACAGGTTTTTGTTTGTTTGTTTTGTTTTTTGAGCCAGGGATGGTGGTGCATGCATTAACCCAAGCACTTGGGAGGCATAGTGAGGCAGATCTCTATGAGATCAAGGCCAGCCTGGTCTACATAACAAGTTCCAGGCCAGCTGGGCTATAAGGAGACCCTGTCTCAAAAACGAAAGAAAGAGAAAGAGAGAGAGGAGTGAGAGGACAGAGAAGAGATGGGGGGTGAGAGAAAGAGGGGGGAGGTCTTTTTGAACACAGTTTTCAATAGCACAATAGTGATGCTGTAGCTGTATTAGAGTAGAGCTCTGTACTTACGGGGAGCAGTGATTCAGGATAAAGAAAAAGACTGGTCTGTAGTGATAGTTGTTAACAGCAGTTGGTATAGACATTTTCCTTGGAGTGTTTTTGGTTTGGTTTGGTTTTGAGTTAAGGACAATAAAGCGTGTATGCTATTTTTAGTTGTCTCACACTTAGCCCTGCTGGAAGAACTGAAGCGTACAAACATCATAAAGAAAAATTACTAGTTGTTTTAACTGGTACTCAAATTGCTTTCCTCTTCCAAATAGTACCTTCCTTCTTTTAAGTGATGTGTATTTAAGTGTGTGTTTCATGAAGCAATCATCAGCATCAGCACTGATGCTCGTGGTACTTCTGCAGTTTGCTCTTGCCGTCTTCCATGGACTCTAAATCCTTATGTGGATCTGATTTGTGATTATCCTATTATCTTTCCAAAGGTTGGTTGTATGACAACAGAATTTTTGTAGCAGGGTCAACACTCTACAATATGCTTGTATGAACTGATGAAAGCTAAGGCATTTTTAAGACCTTAAGCCTGTATTAGATTAGGAGTATCTTTAGATGTACTTAATTTATTCTAACTTTTAAGACGTATTCCTTTCATAAATAAGGTTTGCTGTAACTGATTCCTAAGTATAGTGGAATCTTTTATTAAAGCTGTTTTCCCCCTTTTAAAAATTTGGAAGCTGGGTGTGGTGGTATACACCTGTAATCCAAGCACTTTGGACAGGAGGATTGCTGTGAGGTCAAGTCTAGCCTGGCTTAAAAGCAAGACTCTGTCTCAAAGCAAAAATCAGGAATGTATCTTGTTGAACTATCAAATCTTTAAAGGTTCTTATATTTATATTTATTTTATTTTATTTTTGGTCTTTTTGAGACAGGGTCTCCCTGTAGCCCCAGCTCTCCTGGAACTCACTATGTAGACCAGACTGGCCTTGAACTC